TCAATTGTTATGGTAAAAATGTGGAAACCCTTACGTAGAAATATCACTGCTTACCTCGGCTGACACCGACATCAAAGTAATAATAATTGTATAATATAGACATAACAGTTACAATAAGGTAGGTTTACTGTTTTCAAGTAATTATTTCGTTACTTTTTAGTGTACTGTTTTTTTGAGAATATTTTGTTTTGTTTTTAGTGCATTTTGTTTTGTTTTAGTGTATTTTTTATAACAACAGACAAAATCTATAGTTTATTCATCTATTGTACATAGATTACGAGAAAATTGACTGGGATAGTATTACACAGGCGAGCCGTAACTCAATCCCTGAAAATAGCAGGGAACGAAATTCTGCGTCCTGTAATTTTTTTAACGTAAATCCCTTTACTAGTTGCGGAGCGAAATTGCTATTAAATGGCTTTTTTACCTTCTCTTTTTGTATTAGTATTATAGATGAAAATAGATATTGATTAATATGTTCTTAAAGCAGGTTACAGACGCTCACATTTGATAGTTAAAACTGAGTCGATTAGAAGTGTTTAACAAAAACTATCCGTGTGTAGTTAGAATGAAAAATGAAAAAATATTTATTTTTAGAAAAATTTCCACAAACTTAACCTGATTTTCATTTTTTAACACAATAAACACAATCTAAAAAAAATAATAATAAAAAAAAAACATACAGACGAATTGAGTACCTCCTTCTTTTGGGAAGTCGGTCAAAAATTAACACAAACAGCAAAGTACGTAAGATATGAAAGCAAATCTGTAGTCTAGTATGCTTAGTAGCAAATTGTTCAGGTACCCTCTGTACTAGTATAAAACTGTATTACGGCATGGCAAGAATATTTATTGTCAGTTAAAACTGACCGCATATGACTGGCTTAAGTTCAATTTAACATAGATTTAATGTACTATATACTTCCTACTTTATGTTGATACTGATTTGAAATTTGCAATTTTCTATGGCGTTTAAAATGAATATTTACTTAGTAGTTCAGGGTATAGTATTCTCCCTGAACTCGTTTATAAAAGGTTAGATGAACCATGTCAGATTGAACTATGGTATACAAGGTGAAGTCGGAGGAATAATTTATAGCACTCTGTCAGTTGGATATTTATGATATAAAAGTACACATGTAGTTTAGGTTTCAACAATCCATTATATAAATTGATACTAATCGTTTCGCTATCTGTACATACCATGGTCCTTGAAGAAATGCATTATATACCAACTATCATTTATACTAATATAATAAAGCGTAAACACACATTACTGCGTGGCGTAGGATGTCAGCAATCACAGCATATTTTTAAACAATTCGTTCTTTAATAAAAAGCCCTATACTTACGATACGCTTTAGGCTACATATTTTCACGCTGTTAACTTAGAGGGTAATTAAATTAGTGAAATACCATCGTTTGGGAAAGGGTTCACAAACTACAAGTAATCATTTCATAGCGGTATAACTTTTTTTACAATATTTAGAAGACTAAAAAAAAAGTAAAAGTACATCAAAAGTAACATGACATACCAACAAATGTTTAGATGATACAATTTCTAAACGGTTACGTACGACACTCATAAACATATTGCTGTCCCTTTTACAAGAGTGATAGGGAACATAATATGTTTTTTCAAATATTATAGTAATTAAATTACGTCTTAATAATTAACTATTTAAGTGATATCACTCAAATCCAATTTTCCGGCGGAACATCGAAACTAGTCGGTAAAAATAAATGTTATAATAATGTCTCACCAAAGTTTAAACAATTTAATTACATACTTGATACTTGACATTTTCAAACTCGTGTAAATATTAGTTGAAATAATAGAAACATACTGAAAGCATTATTGGCTCGCTGCCATGCGTGGGTTAGCGGACAAACAGTTTTCCAATAATGCCGTCATATTTCCAGAATTGTCGTCTCTAGACAGAAAACAATGTTTGACCTCTTTATTGGGGTTGTTGTTGTTGTTCGACTTCACTTAATAACATTATTATACAAAAAAAACATTCAATAGTTATGACATTCAATAATTAGCTATTAAACGTTATGATACAAATTAAATCACTGTAATGTTTTATTTGTAAAGAATAATTATTTATCTAAATAAATAAGGCAACTTTGATAAAGAAAGTTTAAAAAAAAATTACAACATGAACCGATCAAAAAGGAGATTCATTAATCCATCAATCCCCTCAAATAAAAATCCATATTTCAATTAACAATGACATCAATTGATAAGTTGTTAGTTAGATGCATTATTGTTTTCTCCAATGAAATTCGTGTATCATATTTGTGTCGACCACACAAAATGCTCTTAGCTAAACCCTGTAACACACAGCTACAAAGCGTAACGATAGATATAAATAGAAAGAACGTTAAACGAAGATTTGTTTACGTTGGAATTAGTTTCATACTAGCTAGCTGCTAAATGATTTAGTAGAAAAAGTGTTTCAGCGCTTCGCTTCCAGTTCGCTTTAGCAGCAGTGTGCTGTAAGCATAAACCTTTCAAGTGCTTCCCCAGTATCCATAGATGCTATTACCATTTCGTGTTTTATTGGCTCTTTGGAATCGTTTTCTTTTACAGCATGCGGTAGCCTCGCTAAGTGCTTTCAACGAGCATAATATACCGATTCAAGCCATTCTACTGAGAGCTAGTTATGGCTTAACTATAAATATTAAACCAAAAATTGTTAATAGTTTTAGTAAATTATGTTGTAACTAGCTGTTCCCGTGCGACTTCATCCGCATGAAATTATGAAAATTTTATTTTATTGTTTACATTGGTCAAATTATCAATTGCGAATGTCAAATTGACATGACATTTAAACCATGGCAATCTTGCTTCCTTGATGTTGGCAGCAACTTATGGTCTCTTTCCCACATTAGGGTTTTTATCCAAAATATTTACTCCCTAAGTTTAATGGCGTGAAAATATATAGCCTAAAGCGTCACGTAAGTGTATGACTTGGCATTAAAAAAAAAGAATTATTCAACAATTTGCTGTAATTGGTGACATCTTAGGCAACAAAGAAGTGTGTGTTTACACTTTATTATAATAGTATAGATCTCGATGGAAGATCTTAATGTTAATATCTATACTTCTGTACATCT